CCATTGTGTCACTAAAGAAATTCCGAGAGCGAATGCGCGAATACAAATTTCTCTTCGATATATGTACTAAATTATCGTTGCACTAATTTGCAGGTATTAGGTATTAGGCGGGGGTGATAATGGAAAACAAATAACTCATAATATAACAATGTCGCACCAACCTTTGTATACCGCACCGCCACTGTGTACCTGCCTCCGATGGTTCATTTGTTGTTATCGATAATGGCGTTGCGCCCGGGCAACATTCACACCACCCTGGCCGGGCTGAGGCCGAGCTATGATTTAAAACCCAACTGCACGTTTTATTTATTCCTTCTATCGAAATATTTTATTATTTTGAGTATTTATCATGATGATGCTGCTGCCCATTTTCTGTATTCCCTTCGGGCATTCTACGACACCCGAGATGATTAATCAGGTAAAAAATGTAATGTGATAAATGTCATTACCTCATATCATCCCGTGGATGTCCTAAGACTCTTAGGCTAAGAGGGAAACAAATTAGCAGTTCTTCACAATAACGACTATGAGGGAGGCCTATGCTCAGCAGTGGGCTATAAGGGTATAAGAAATGTAATATACCTACGCATACGTCACACCTGTAATCTCCGAGGGAGTAGGCAGAGTCCAAAGTTCATCGAGTTATTAGGACGACATTTAGCTAAAGTAAGTAGTTATTAAATAATCAAAATAAATAAAGTACAATATCCATTAATCGCCCTATACAACATGCTATTAAGCATAAACCCACACAAACAACACAGTTTACACCCACGTAAATATGGGACGTAGATATACAGTATGGATCAACTTGGGACAACATGATAATGTAAATAGAGTCTAGCCTATTTCATTCAAGATGACGTATTCTAAATCCTAAAAAAATTTAAAGTGGAGTATACATTATACTGACGCAATTATGCTGCAGTTTATTGCCAGTTTGCTTATTTTACGTCAAGCGTAAACGAGATAGTATACCGCCATAGAAGCCATTAACTGGTATTTTCCATAGTCACATCCTACGTCACCCCACCGAATGAATCGGGGAGATTTATAATTCTTTTTCAGTATCACCACACGGCATTTTCTCTATTATACCCGCATTTGTCTCATATATAGATACAAATAAATAAAATTGAAGTTTCTGTTTGTAATGTCAAATAACAGCTTTTTACTAAATGAATATGACAGTAGGTATATACAGTACATATAACAAAATAACAATTTTTAAAATTTTTGTCTGTCTGTCTGTTTGTTCCAGCTTATCTCCAAAACGGCTGGACCGATTTTGACGGGACTTTCACAGGCAGATAGCTGGCGTTATAAGAAGTAACTTGGCTACTTTTGTTTTAGAAAAAGAATTAGGGTTCCGCGCAGAAAAATTTAAACTCATGAAATCCAACACGCGGACAAGGTCGCGAGGAACAAGCAGTTATAGATAAAAGATATTAATTTTCAGTCATCCGTGCAAGATTCCGTGCCATACACAAACAAAACACTTGTGGGTTTACCGAAGTGTGTATCTGATAGCTTGTGTTTGTCTGTTAAAAGTAACGAAGAAAACCACCACCCCATTATTCCAATAACATTATAATAATACAAAAAAAACCATCAAAAAAAAACGAAAAAATTAAATATTTAAAATAAGAAATATATATATATATATATATATATATATATATATATATATATATATAGATCATGTTCGAAGCATTTAAATACCTACAAGAACAAGCAACGAGTAATACGTTTACACTTGACTTACATGACACTTGAGCCCTATACTGGACCGCACCTGTTTTAGGTTCAAAGCTATTTTGCGACCTTAGTACTAAAATATATATATATATATATATATATATATATATATATATATATATATATTACGGATAAAGGCATTCTATCAGAGTTGACAACGCATCCTTAGCCGTCCTGGTTTTAATTTGCTGGCAAGTGTTTGTGGGCTGCAGAACTTACTACCAGTTAGCTCCGTTGAATAATAATATTAGATAATGAGTTCTTATGTTTACACGAACACTACACAATTAAATAAAACTAGTTTTTACGGATTATATAGCGTATATTAATTTATTTTATATTCCCGACATCTAGAGTACTTTACAGCACTCATGGTCACGGGGGCACTGAGGTGTTCGACGTCCCAATGTCATAAGGCTATATGCAGATTAAATTTATTATCTGATCTACGCAGTATGAACTTATAGTATTTTGAAGTCTTGGAGTTGTATGCTTGGGTTGAGATTCAATTTTTTTAATTATAGGATCCCAAGCTGATACGGTAGCTCCCAGCCAGCCATTGAATAAAGATGTTTTTTTGATTTAAATATCCTCGTGAATCATCCTAGGAAGGAATCGATGTTCTTTAGCGAGGATTTGTGGTCTATCAAATCTGATGTAGCGACAGGGACGGTCTTGTACATGTTCACAGACTGCAGACTTCCCGGAGTGTCGATTCTTCACATAATATTAGAGTTAACTAAAAACCTAAACAACACGCACTAATCATAAGGCGGGATGATTCCATTAAATGATACAAATTTTACGGATTATAACATGTTTCATTTATACTTTTTAATTACATACGTTTCGGCTGATTTACAACACCCATGGTCACGGGGGGGGGACAATTGTGGGGGTGTCATTTATGTGTAGTATTCGCGTTCATATAAAAAATCATTACATGATGATTCTAGTGAGAATACAAGATCATAATCATGGATACAATGTATTTTAACTTTGTCCTTTCCGCCAAATTTCAGATTATTCAGTCATCCGAAAGTAAATGTTGTTCTTAAAAACGTGTTATTAAAATAAAGGGTACAGAACTTATTATAACTTTGTTGAATTGCATGTTTGCGGATTTACAATCGAAGCGATCCCAAGAAATAATCTTTGGATTACAGGGAAATACCAAAGCAATAAGTTGGAATATTCCATAAGATTTATATTCATAAACTTAGTAATAATTAATTTTACGCAAAACAAGTCGTATTAAAGCTATTAACTCCAACTAGTCAAAAACCGGGTTCATTATTAAAAAGTTATTTCGATATTTTCAACTATTTTTTATAAGGTATATTTTTATTTCGTCAGCTGTTTTATCCTATTGAGGTTAAATTTTATCTAACCGCAACATTTCCTTTAAACCTTTTGAAGTTATAAGCTAATTTTCAAAAACCTGTTTAGAATTATAACTCCGTCAACGACTAGCTTGATATTAATAATCCGTTTACAATTGAAATAAAAAAAAATACTTTCTGTAATTTTACTAATGTGTTTAATTTTAGACGGAAATTAATTTACATATATTATTTTTCTAAAAATTTTGTCATTAGGATGTATGTTAGGACCGACTTTGAATGATCGGGTGAAAAATTCTGCGATAAAAGAAAAATGTGGTGTGGAAAGCTTCGGTTGTTCGGGCAAGTAGATAGAATGAATAAGGAAATGGCGGCAAAGCAAATACATGCTGCATAAGTGAGTATCAGAGTCAGCAAGGGACACCCTAAACGAAAGTTTATCAACCAAGTTGGCGATAAATTGAAGACTTACTTATGCCCGCGACTTCGTTCGCATACTATGATGTTTGCATTCGTTAAAACCAATCAAGTGCGTGCGTTACTTCAACACCGAGGCTTCCTAGAAAAATAGAAATATATATTTTTAATTAAAATAATTAAAAATAAAGTAACGTAGTAATTTAGATGATTGTGCTGGTTTGCCACCCCTATTCTATAAAAATGGCGATTTAAAAGAATGCTGGTTTTTACCATTAGTGTTTTATAAGAACGAGGTACAAAGCCGAGTCGATCCGTTAATGGAAAAAATACTGCTGCTAAGCAAATATCTTTGTTTAATTGATTACTAACTGACTCTACGTCTCTACGTTGTTACAAAGTTGTCTCCTGCATAGCTGCGTCTTAATTAGTAACTATAATTTAACTGCCTTATTCATAAACAGATATAAAGTAGCTATTTGATCATAAAAGGTCTTTTGTCAATAAAGAGTAAAGTGACAATATATTCTAGTTTTGCGAGACAGTCTCGCAATCTCTTCTCCTTCAGCCCCTAGAAATCCACCGCATTCATTTTTGATACCTTATCATTAGTTACAACTTATCAAAGTCCTATTCCGGGCAACCATAGTTTTTAATAAATATGAGTAATTTTTAAGGAAGTTTTTTGCGACACACCCGGGATAATATAGGGTAATGGATTCTCATACGCCGCTAGTACAAAGCGAAATGTTACAGTTTTCGAATAGGTTAAAATTCAGTGCCACAGATCGGTGATGGTCAGATCCAAATACGAAGGTTAGTGCCTACACAGTGTAGTGAGTTAATCTTTCAAGATATTCACTCTCATCTAAATGTTACGTCCATATGTATTAACCACCTGTACTAATGAGACCAATTCTCATAAAGGGGCCATCTGGCATGCCTTACTTAAAACTTTTGTAAATACGGACCACGCTGGTCATATTAAAGGTAAGATATGTGATCAAAAGGTAATGTTTTAAAAAAAAAGTAAGAATAGAAAAGAAAAGTATATTTGACGCTAAGTTGATGCTGTGGTCCATACAAACCTAACCCAATTTGAAGAATTAAAATCATGTGCGTTGCTACCCCTGAGAGCTAAGATAAAATGTCTTATTGCCAGTTCAAAATGTCTCTAGTTCTCTACACACAGTATAAGAAACACCGCAGCATATTTAGCTATTCCAAGCTAATACTCTGTAAGAACGTGTTAATCATCTACATGTTTTTTTAACCTTTACCCTTAGTGTATTTAAAGTGTTAATAAAGTCAGGTAAAAAATACTGTTTATCACCACCAGTAATTTTAAAGAAGATAAATTTGCCTAAAACTTTAACTTATATTATAAAAATAACCTTTTAAAACGCTATTTACCGTCATTTCAGGGCCGCTCGCTTCATGCGCCCTGTTGGTAGACATGTTGCCAAGATGCTATCAGTACTAATGAAAGAGGGCTTAGATCCAAAGAAATTAGAAATAGTTGGACTTAGTCTCGGTGGACAAACTATGAGTTTCATAGCAAAGAGCTTCCAAGAAATTACCGGTATGAATGTATCCAGATTAACTGGGCTGGATCCAGCTGGACCATGTTTTAGAAACCTTGGTCCGGATCAGCGTCTAGACCAGGCGGACGCCGACTTTGTAGAGGTCGTGCAAACGAACATAGATGGCTTCGGAATGGCGGCACCTGTAGGACACGTCAATTTTTATATAAACGGCGGAGAATTTCAGCCTGGTGATGTGTTATGGATGCCATGCAATGTCCTTTGTAGTCATATTAGATCGCTTACCATATGGGTGGCTGCATTAAAGCACCCAGACTCATTTATAGCGATGAAATGCGATTCAGTGCAACAAGCCAGGGATAAGAATTGCTACGATAGGAAACCTTTGGTGACCAACGTTTTGGGGTTGAAAGCTGACAAAACCAAGCAGGGAATATTCTACCTCTCGACGAATAACAATTTCCCGTACTATTTAGGCAAGGAAGGTCTTAAAAGAGAGAACGATTTCTTTTTTAAGAAGACAAATACGATCAACGAAAAATCTGTGATCAAAATGTGATATTAGATTATAGAATTAAATTGTTTGGTTTTGTTTTATTTATTCCTTTAAGAAATTTCTATATTTTAATGTTTTATCTAAGTCATTATTCATCCTTATGATTAATACAAAAATTACAGCCTTTCAAAGGCCCACTGTTGAACATAGGCCCCTCCTATAGATGGCCTGATAGTGGCCACGTTTGACAGACGGGTTAATAATCGAAGCTTTTTATTAATTTGAGTAGTTTTCATAATGATGCTGCTTTCATTTTTCATTTCATTTTCTATTTCATTCCCTTCTACCCTCTTACGATACCCGAGATCAATCAAGTAAAAAATGTAATATGATAAAGGAGAATTAGAGACTATAAGAAGTGTACCTTATATAAGAAACATACAACGTATTGGCGTTGTAAGAATATCCACTACTTCATATCATCATTTATATTAGAATTATTTTGTACGTGCAGCTTGGATCGTAAATCATCGGAGTATTTCGCTTCTCTCCCACTCACGGGCCTTAGGGGTGAGCATAGTGATGCGCATTATTGTTGTCGATAAGCGTTATCGATAGTGTATTTAGTTTTGTCATTATGTGGGTTAGTGATAAAAATGAAAAAAAGTAATTGAGAAAACAACTATTTATTAAATTAAGAATAATAATTATTAATGATATTATTTTGAATAAATTCTGCCGTTTTGGTACAAAACAAAGGAGTAGCCATTCTGTCACTAAAGAAATTCCGAGAGCGAATGCGCGAATACAAATTTCTCTTCGATATATGTACTAAATTATCGTTGCACTAATTTGCAGGTATTAGCTATTAGGCGGGGGGTAATAATGGAAAACAAATAACTCATAATATAACAATGTCGCACCATCCTTTACCATACCGCATCCATACCGCACCGCCGCTGTGTACCTGCCTCCGATGGTTCATTTGTTATTATCGATAATGGCGTTGCGCCCGGGCAACATTCACACCACCCTGGCCGGGCTGAGGCCGAGCTATGATTTAAAACCCAACTGCACGTTTTATTTATTCCTTCTATCGAAATATTTTATTATTTTGAGTAGGTGAGTAGAGCACGATGATGATGCTGCCCATTTTCTGTATTCCCTTCGGGCATTCTACGACACCCGAGATGATTAATCAGGCAAAAAATGTAATGTGATAAATTTCATTACCCCATATCATCCCGTGGGTGTTCTAAGAGAGAAACAAATTAGCAGTTCTTCACAATAACGACTATGAGGGAGGCCTATGCTCAGCAGTGGGCTATAAGGGTATAGAAATGTAATATACCTACGCATACGTCACACCTGTAATCTCCGAGGGAGTAGGCAGAGTCCAAAGTTCATCGAGTTATTAGGACGACATTTAGCTAAAGTAAGTAGTTATTAAATAATCAAAATAAATAAAGTACAATATCCATTAATCGCCCTATACAACATGCTATTAAGCATAAACCCACACAAACAACACAGTTTACACCCACGTAAATATGGGACGTAGATATACATTATGAATCGATCAACTTGGGACAACATGATAATGTAAATAGAGTATGGCCTATTTCATTCAAGATGACGTATTCTAAATCCTAAAAAAATTTAAAGTGGAGTATACATTATACTGACGCAATTATGCTGCAGTTTATTGCCAGTTTGCTTATTTTACGTCAAGCGTAAACGAGATAGTATACCGTCATAGAAGCCATTAACTGGTATTTTCCATAGTCACATCCTACGTCACCCCACCGAATGAATCGGGGAGATTTATTATTCTTTTTCAGCATCACCACACGGCATTTTCCCTATTATACCCGCATTTGTCTCATATATAGATACAAATAAATAAAATTGAAGTTTCTGTTTGTAATGTCAAATAACAGCTTTTTACTAAATGAATATGACAGTAGGTATATAAAGTACATATAACAAAATAACAATTTTTAAAAATTTTGTCTGCCTGTCTGTTTGCTCCAGCTTATCTCCAAAACGGCTGGACCTATTTTGACGGGACTTTCACAGGCAGATAGCTGGCGTTATAAGAAGTAACTTAGACTACTTTTGTATTAGCAAAAGAATTATGGTTCTGCGCAGAAAAATTTAAACTCATGAAATCCAACACGCGGACAAGGTCGCGGGGAACAAGCAGTTATAGATAAAAGATATTAATTTTCAGTCATCCGTGCAAGATTCCGTGCCATTCACAAACAAAACACTTGTGGGTTTACCGAAGTGTGTATCTGATAGCTTGTGTTTGTCTGTTTAAATTAACGAAGAAAACCACCACCCCATTATTCCATTAACATTATAATAATACATGAACAAGCAAGCCGCTTTCGGTCTAATTTTATACATATAAAATATATATATATATATATATATATATATATATATATATATATATATATATATATATATATATATATATATATATATATTACCAACTTATATTATACGATATTGTATTTTTGTCTCGGTCTTCCTCCTTGTTTAAATTTTTAGGACGACAAAGTTTATGGTGACCATATTACCCTCACGTACCTTATATATACATACATATATATATAAAATAATATATATATATATATATATATATATATATATATATATATAGAAATGTAATTAATTTCTCAATCTATACTTTAGCAAATGAGGGAAGTAATTTCAAGAAAAAAAGAATTTTTAATTAAAAGAAATTTCAAAAATCCTACTAGTAAATCTTGGAAGCAGTAGAAATCCGGCAAAACCGACGATATTTGTGGACATCTGAGCAAAAGCAATCTGAGCAAAGTTATTATATATATATATATATATATATATATATATATATATATATATATATATATATATATACCCTATACTAGACCGCACCTGTTTTAGGTTCAAAGCTATTTTGCGACCTTAGTACTTATGTTTTTTTTTTCTATATATATATAGAATCAGAAGGCCATCTTAATCTCTTCACTCAGCATACGAAATACGTTAGAATTATTTTTATATTTTACGCTATGGTCGAGGCCCCTGGTCGAGTTCACCCATAGTGCAACAGCCATATACCACCAGCCATAAACCGTGTACATTGGATGAATCGCTTGTTCTAGAACGATATGGAGATGAAATATTACAGGCTTTGGAGGCATTCTATCAGAGTTGACAACGCATCCTTAGCCGTCCTGGTTTTAATTTGCTGGCAAGTGTTTGTGGGCTGCAGAACTTACTACCAGTTAGCTCCGTTGAATAATAATATTAGATAATGACTTCTTATGTTTACACGAACACTACACAATTAAATAAAACTAGTTTTTACGGATTATATAGCGTATATTAATTTATTTTATATTCCCGACGTCTAGAGTACTTTACAGCATCAGTCACGGGGGGACTGAGGTGTTCGACGTCCCAATGTCATAAGGCTATATCCAGATTAAATTTATTAATTTATTATCTAATCTACGCAGTATGAACTTATAGTATTTTGAAGTCTTGGAGTTGTGTGCTTGGGTTGAGATTCAATTTTTTTAATTATAGGATCCCAAGCTGATACGGTAGCTCCCAGCCATCTTCTCCATTGAATAAAGATGTTTTTTTGATTTAAATATCCTCGTGAATCATCCTAGGAAGGAATCGATGTTCTTTAGCGAGGATTTGTGGTCTATCAAATCTGATGTAGCGACAGGGACGGTCTTGTACATGTTCACAGACTGCAGACTTCCCGGACTGATTCTTCACATAATATTTGAGTTAACTAAAAACCTAAACAACACGCACAATCATAAGGCGGGATGATTCCATTAAATGATACAAATTTTACGGAATATAACATGTTTTATTTATACTTTTTAATTACATACGTTTCGGCTGATTTACAACACCCATGGTCACGGGGGAGGGGGACCATTGTGGGGGTGTCATTTGATGTGTAGTATTCACGTTCATATAAAAAAATCATTACATGATGATTCTAGTGAGAATACAAGATCATAATCATGGATATAATGTATTTTAACTTTGTCCTTTCCGCCAAATTTCAGATTATTCAGTCATCCGAAAATAAATGTTGTTCATAAAAACGTGTTATTAAAATAAAGGGTACAGAACTTATTATAACTTTGTTGAATTGCATGTTTGCGGATTTACAATCGAAGCGATCCTAAGAAATAATCTTTGGATTACAGGGAAATACCAAAGCAATCAGTTGGAATATTCCATAAGATTTATATTCATAAACCTAGTAATAATTAATTTTACGCAAAACAAGTCGTATTAAAGCTATTAACTCCAACTAGTCAAAAACCGGGTTTATTATTAAAAAGTTATTTCGATATTTTCAACTATTTTTTATAAGGTAATTTTTATTTCGTCAGCTGTTTTATCCTATTGAGGTTAAATTTTATCTAACCGCAACATTTCCTTTAAACCTTTTGAAGTTATAAGCTAATGTTCAAAAACCTGTTTAAAATTATAACTCCGTCAACGACTAGCTTGATATTAGTAATCCGTTTACAATTGAAATAAAAAAAATACTTTCTGTAATTTTACTACTGTGTTTAAAATTTTAGACGGAAATTAATTTACATATATTATTTTTGTAAAAATTTTGTCATTGGGATTTATGTTAGGACTGACTTTGAATGATCGGGTGAAAAATTCTGCGATAAAAGAAAAATGTGGTGTGGAAAGCTTCGGTGGTTCGGGCAAGTCGATAGAATGAATAAGGAAATGGCGGCAAAGCAAATACATGCTGCATAAGTGAGTATCAGAGTCAGCAAGGGACACCCTAAACGAAAGTTTGTCAACCAAGTTGGCGATAAATTGAAGACTAACTTGTGCCCGCGACTTCGTTCGCATACTATGATGTTTGCATTCGTTAAAACCAATCAAGTGCGTGCGTTACTTTAACACCGAGGCTTCCTAGAAAAATAGAAATATATATTTTTAATTAAAATAATTAAAAATAAAGTAACGTAGTAATTCTCCAACACATTCGCGTATCATGATATTTTTTCGGTTGTTTTAAAGCTGAGACATTGTTAATTTTTTCGGTAGACAAATAAATGCATTTTCTTTCTTTTTACATAATAAATATATTTTTATTTTTATTATGTATTTAGTTAAAAAACAATCAAGTGCATGGATGACTACCACACTCAGGGTTATTACAATACTGAAAATTAAAACATAAGTCACGAAATTATGCCAGTAAAAATATGAAAAAGAAGTTTAATGAGTGGATAACGATTACTCCAACTTATAAGAACTTAAACTTTTTACTTATTATATGCTAGACTACATCACCTGACTGGTGTGTTAGAGTGGTGATGCAGCTGAAGATGGCAAAGCGCAATCACTTAGCTTATCAAAAGCCTATTCACATTTGCCGTAAAAAATGTGGGTGACATTATAATAATATGGCAATACGGACAAAGGTCCTTTTGTATGATGTACAATCAGACAGACAGGCAGAGAGACAATTCTTTCATAAACTGTTGTTGATATATATCTATCTGTAGTATAGAATGACCCAATTGAAATTTCAAAAAAATATTCAATGGTCAGAATTCGTTCCCTTAGAGATTTATTATAGTATAGATACGAGTATGTATTATATTGAGCTGTAACGACAATGTGAACATTTTTCATAAAAGCCTATTTACTCTTCTTTTGAATACACCAACATTATATTCCGATGGCAAGAAAGAGAAAGGTTTTTGTATCATGCACGTTTGGATAGAAGACAGACAGATATCTCCAAAATTGTTGTTGTGACATCTCTTTTGTTATTATGGAATATCCCAATTAAAATTTCAAAAAAATATGCAATCTACAGAAATCGTCCAATTAGAATTTTATAATAGTAAAGATATGTGTTATATTAAACTACTCTGACAATATAATTTTCCACAGATGTATGCTAATTATTTAATGCGAATGTTAGTTACGTCAGTACATAAATTGAATATTTATATCGAAATAATTCATATTAAAATACGATGGGTCTAATGATCTAATGACCCATCTACAGGTGAGATAATATTTATTCATACGAAATAAAATATTATTTATTTTGAATTCAGAATGATTAAAAGGCTCGCTTATTTATTTAAAACTCTTATACCTACTGTATATACAATTAAAAAATGTATTAGTCAGTGAATACCTTATTTGTGGTTGTGACAACGGGCGATGCGAGTAAGAGCGTTAGATTTTCTTTTGCACGGGTTTGTTGGGTTTCCCCTTTGTTTTGAATAATAAACATATTAATGTACAGACCTATTTTAAAATTATTTTTTAAAATTACATTCCAATTGAAATTAGCACCCTTTCACAGAACATAATTTTACTCCCTACGTTCACTTGATTGTTTTCCTTTTTTTTTTTCATCTCTTTATAAACAGTTTTTTATGTAAGTATGCAGTATTTTTTCGGCCAGTATTTTATATATTTAAGGTGGAACCACTTAAACCTTAAGATATCAATTTGAGGGCTAATACATACATAGATAATTTTAAACTTTCATAACAGATTTACGTAATTAAACGAAGGTTTCGGGAAAGTGAGAAGAAAAGGAGTGGTACAAACTTTGGATTTAAAAAAAAACAGCTAGTATTTCTTTTAAAGCTAAAGACTTTGCTAAAGATAGTATCGGATTGCGGGCGACTAAATCTAATCCAGTCCAATCCCCAGAAGACACAAGTTTGCGTGTTTGCTGCTAAAAAGAACACATTTGTCGTATCTCTTAAGTTTCACGGCACTCCCCTTGTTGCCTCAGCAAGTATCAGAATCCTCGGTGCCGTCATATCAAATGGCGTGCAGTTTCGTGGTAACTTGGAAGAGAAGGCCTAATTGGCCTTTAAAATGCTTGACGTGCTTAACAGAGCGTGAGAGTGATTCGTGCCGGGCTTCGATATTGTTGATCGAAGATGCCGGCACACTACCTGCAACTTAACAAGGCGCAGGCTCGGCCTCACATGGAATACTGTTACCATCTCTTGACCGGGGCACCCCAATGCCAGCTCCTTCCATTTGATCAAATCCAGTGCAGAACGGTTCGAATCGTCGGCAACCAAGATTTTTTTGATCGGCTTGACTCACTGGTGTTGCTATATAGTACCTATCTACCACAGGGAGTGTTCTGAGGAATTGTTCGGACTATTCCAGCCACTTAATTTCACCATCGCACATCGCGACGGAACTCGATATACCATCCATACCATGTGGATGATTGACAGTCCACCACTGTGCGATTTACAAGAAGTTTTCATCCTCCAACAACTTTCCTGGGGAATTGACTACCACCAGCGATTTTTCCGGACCAATACGCCTTAGGGACCTTCAATAAAAGAGCTTACTCTTTTTTAAAAGGTCCGTAACGCATCTGCGATTCCCCTGACGTTACAATTGTTCATGGCCGGCGGTAGTCACTTACCATCAAGTGAGCCGCAAGCTCGTTTGCCCCCTCTAATATAAAAAAATCAGTGACCTTAGGTATTATTACAATGGCGTCAATAACAAGGCCTTTTAGTTAGGAATGTATCAGCAACGATACTTTTTACACAGTCTCCGGCTGCGATTACACGAAACTGATCCTATCATTGAACCCTTACGGCTGTTCTGTTTGCGTTTTAAATACAGTTTATTTTTACGATCGGTATGAACAACAATAACGACTTAATTTATTTGTCGAACAAATTAATTTCTAGAAACTTCCTTGTTTTATAATGGTATAGTCCGGTTAACCCTAGTCCAGTATAGAGTTTGCTTGATATTAATTGCTGATGAATCATATCGTCACTGGAAAGGAGAAAATGCTAAAGTGCCATTTGGGCCAAAATGAGTTAATTATATTGTTGGATTGCTTTTTTTTTTCCGCGTCGATCTGTGTAGATTTCAAGTGAATCAGAGCAAGTTTTTGGCGTTTTAGCATTTGTAAAAATTGAGGGATGTTCCGAATTCCAAGATCTAAAGCGACGATTTTCCCTTGTTTTTGAAATAGACGTAGCTTTAGAAACACATTTTCAGTAAAGAGATCCGTTAGAACGTTATTCCTTACTACATTCCCTTCACAATAGCAACATAAGTATTTTTTCTTTTCTTAATTTGAATGACATTGTTACATTAGCAATATTAAATTTTAGAATTGTATTATTTCATATTCTGTTAGCTATTATTCATTACTGTTGTTTTTAACTGTTTGGTGCTTAAGAAAAACTGTAAACATAAGATTTAAGTATGGTTGGCGCTTTAGCAATTTTTGCTAAATATATTTTTTTAAATTTCATTCTGTTAGAGAAAATAAAGTTGTGACAATTAAGTAATAACATTTCTATTAGAATAAGGAAGGCATTTTCCTAAAGGTATGAATCGTTTTAGCGATATGCTATGTTTTAAACTGACGACCACTGTAGTACGTTAGTACTATTATCTATTGGGAGACTGTAGTGTAAATAGCGGTTAGGCACATAATATTTATAATATGCGTGTGATTGTAAGCACACTTAGCGCACTCGCGTCCTGTCGGAACACATCGTTTCTGGATTCGCGCGCGCCCGCTGGTTGTAGGTAATCACCTAACATCAGTAGTATTAGTTAGTCTACGCTAGTGACGGTTTTCGTAAAGAAATTTATAGGTACTGTTTATGTTTATTGTGACGTGTAAGTAAGTGCGTTAAGTAGTATTGTTGGGATCTTGATTTTGGAATATAAAAAGGTATGTTTATACTTTTTTGTATTATTGTAGTGTTAAGCAAAAGTATTGTACAGTTAAGATTTTTTGGTTATGTTTGGTTAGAGTGATGAGTAGTTTTGACATAATTGGTGCCTAAGTTATAGATTAACTAAAATATTTAATTGAGACTGTTCACATGAATAAGATATAACACCAGTGAAATTACCGACTTAAGTCTTCTGGTGATAAGCTTAACAGTGCCATGCAGTACTGTTTAGAAAGTTCTGTGCGGCACTACTATAATGGGAGGGTGGGCTCTTCATAATAATTGCATTTCACCTTACCTACTTATCGTGGGTTACATCATAACTTAATTGAAATACAGTAACGGTTCATGTCTTTTGTTGTAGGTCATGGAAAGCAAACGCAAAAATTACATTAAACAGTACGTATGCCAAGCTCAGCAACAGGATACCAGTAGAATACGAGGACAACCAGACAATACTGATTTTGTAACAAAGCTACGACGAGCAAATACAGCGGATTATAAAGCTATACAGTGTAATACTTACATGTCTGTCTCAGCAGAAAACACCTCGACTCATAAACTCCAGCAACTTACCGATAATGACGACGCCTCCCACTCCCCAAGCGCTTCGCACACCTCGACTCCTGGTCTCCTGGAATCTAGTTATAGCAACGACGCTTCCCACGCGATGCGTTCCCTTACCTATGATGACTCCTCCGCGACGAGAGCTTCGCATATCTCGGCTTCTGCACTCCTACAATCTACTGCAAATAACCACGCTTCCCACGCAATGAGCGCTTCGCATACCCCGAATCATGATCTAAAATCTACATGTTATGATAACGCCGCCTCCCACCAGATGAATGCACAGTACACCCCAGATCCTGAGCTCCTAGATTCTACCTCCACAACGAGCAGGCTCCAGCAACTTACCGATGACGACGATGCCTCCCACGCCCCTAGCGCTTCGCATACCTCAACTCCTGGCTTCCTGGAATCTATCTCTGGTAACGGCGCTTCCCACGCGATGCGTTCCCTTACCTATGATGACATCATCTCCTCCGCGACGAGAGCTTCGCATATCTCGGCATCTGCACTCCTTTAATCTACTGCAGATAACCACGCTTCCCACGCAATGAGCGCTTCGCACACCCCGAATCATGATCTAAAATCTACATGTTATGATAACGCCGTCTCCCACCAGATGAATGCACAGTACACCCCAGATCCTGACCTCCTAGATTCAGCCTCCACAACGAGTATCTCTCATGCTATGTATAATAAAGTTTCTTCGGCTTCTCAGTTACGTTCCTATGTCTCGAGAAGAGGAGATTGAAATTTATGTACAACAAATTATATCTGATGACAGTTGCAAAATCACGATTGAATTGGAAGAACAAACAGTTAATCAGTTTGAAAAAGAAAAAAATCAAGAACTTTGAGAATATTGTTGACAAGGAAGTGCCTGGAACTAGTAAAGGAAAACTTGAAAGGAGGAAGGTCAAACCTGGATATATAGAAGAGAAACCTGAAAAAAATAAAAGATTAATTCTGAAACATGTTGACTTCATTTCTGACGAAGAAGAATTTACACTGACTTCTTCTTCATGGGAAGAATCAGACGATACGGAGTCAGATACATCCAATAATGATAGAAGAGAGAAAAAACAGAAGAAAAATAAAAACAGTAAAAGACAAGGCAAGGAGTCAAAAAACGTAGCAGAAAAATAAACAAGAAGAAAACTGACCACTTAGCTTCGAACAAAGATGAATCTGACTCAGAGCAACAGAAAAGGACTGAAGAAAACAATAGAGAAAATGAATCTTATGTAGATTTTAGGAAAAGAACCAAACGAATTAATAAAGATAAAGAAAGATCAAATTTAAGGAAAGCTGGAAAAGAGTATGTCTCAAAAACTGGAAGAGTAGTTGAGGCAAAATCTATGTAAGCAAATCCTTGCAATCCAGTAAACTGTATTAATAAATGTTACGGTATATCTGAAGATAGACGAAAAGGTATTTTTGATCATTATTGGTCATTAAGTGCGGAAAGAAAGCGTGACTGGATTGTAAGTCATGCTAAAAAAGAAATTGTGAAACGAAGAAGAACCAAAGATATAAGGAGCCGAAGGCAATTTACATATACATATTTCATTAACCAAGGAGAAGGCCAAAGACCTGTTTGTTTGAGATTCCTTATAAATACCTTAAATACTGGTCAAAGATTTCTACATCAAGTTATCAGTTCTTCAGTTGAAGGGTGTTCTAAAACAGACAACAGAGGCAGAGGAGTTCCTGCAAACAAAACGCCCCCGGCCTTGTTGCAATCCGTAAGAGACAATATTAATGGTTTACCAGCAGTTCCCTCACACTACTGCAGGAAAAACTCAAAAAAATGTTATTTGCCGCAAGAATATAGAAGCCTTTCCAATTTATACAAAATTTATAAACAAAAGAACATGAATGAAGGGGAGAATTTTGTAGGCGAAAAAGTTTTAAAAACATATTTTCGACAGAATTTAACATTTCTTTCCATGTACCCCGAAAAGACAAATGTGTAAAATGTATTAAATACGAAAATATCCCCGGAGAATATCAGGAAGAAAAAGAGAAACATATGTCAGATAAAGAAGAAACATATTCGAGATTTCAAACACATCAAGACCTTCGTAAACACGATAGTAGTATACTCTGTACTACGTTCGATCTCCAAAAGGTGCTAAATACTCCATATGGAGACAGCATGTTACTTTATTACAGCAGAAAGATCGCTACATATAATTTGACATTTTACGAGTCCGTCACACGAGAAGGGTTCTGTTTCTTGTGGAATGAAGTCGAAGGCAAACGTGGTGCGAATGAAATTTGTACCATTCTCGTTAAATATATTGAAAAGGTGGACGAACGTGGATCTATAAAACATTTACTTTTATATTGCGATTCCTGCCCAGGGCAAAACAAAAATAAAATTGTTCTGGCCTGCATCCATAAATCTTTGCAAAAATGCAAGAATATATCAACCATTCAAATGAATTACCTTCTACCGGGACACACATATATGCCTGTGGATTCCATGCACTCAGTCATTGAGAAAAGTGTGACAAACAACATTGTATGGGCACCGTCTCAGTGGCCAACCATATGTGCTCTAGCAAGAAAAGTTCCTAAACCATACGAAGTTGAAGTTCTATCTCACAAAGATTTTGAGGGCTGGGATACAATTTTAGACAGATACTTCAAAGGCAATCTTGCAGGTAAAGTAAGCAGGATTCGCACTACTACATTCAAGAAAGCTAATCCGCACCATATCGAAGTCAAATATTCCATGAAAGTTGAAGCTGAATCTGAAAAGATCGAAGTTATAGGCAAAGGTGAATTAATTCCAAAGTTAATTTACAAATCGAAATTGCCTATTTTAAAGAAAAAATATTCCGATTTGGAAAAATTATGTAACAATAAAACTATACCAGCAATGTATGTTGCAGAATATAAGTCTTTACCTCATGCAGTAAATGTTCAAGATTTTTTTGGCAGATACAGACATTGAAGACATTCAAGACTGATAGATTTAAGGTTAATCTTTAAAACGCTGATCTCAAAAGTCCCAAATTAGATTTGCTTATTGTTATATGTTTATATTTCTTTTTGTTCTAAGATTTATAAATACGTTAGGTCTAACGTCAGACTTACCCTTGTGATTCAGGATGATAAAAACTTATTGGAATAAGTCAAGAATTGATAATACTGAAGTTTTATTTTTACGTTCGTTTTGTTGCTTACTTAACATTTAAGTATGTTTAATATTAAGTTTTTTTGTTGTTTATGGACCTACTTGATGTTTTTCAAAAATTATGGTAAGACTACTTATTAGCAAGTCACAACAATGTTTGGAAAAATATTAAAAATAAATAAATAAAACTGATTGATTTTTAAATGCAATGGTTTTATTTCTAATGCAAATTCCGACAACAGATTTGGTACATTCTAAGAGGTTTTCAGTTTAGTCCATTCAAGACATTGAGTTAGATTTTATATTGACAAATTCTTACCGCACATCAATTACTTAGTATCTACAAAATTTAGTTAAATTTTCACATAATGAGCCTATTAAGCAATTATTTCGAACAAATTCTTAAAACCCATCCGTAGATATGTAGTATAATCGAGTAAAGTAACGGTCAATAATTTACCTTTAGTCATTTTTGCTTTTGTGGAGGGACACACGGGCAGAGGAAAAAAAAAAAAAATTTACTGACCCCAGAAAGGAAATGTTGAGAATGATGAGTCATTTTTGCTTGCATTTATTCGGTTAAGTTAGCGCACGTAAGCAATTTTGGTTGCATAGCCTCTGTACTGTATCGCTTGTTTAGCATTTCTTCTTGACGGCATGTTACCATCATAAGCAATCGTTAGCAATTTTTCTTTACTAGATCTATACGGCCTTAGTTACTTAAGCATTTTTCGTTTCCAAGAGAAGTGGCTTTTACTATTTATAAGCATTTTTCGAATAATTCGATTCATACTTTTGAGGTAGATTAGCAGTTTTTCCCTGACTAATACTTTCCTATTACTCAACGCACTTTTGCTAAAGCGACTACAATTTCGAGAAATAGAGATAAATATCATAAACACTTTGTACGTGCTGGTACAATAGAATTTTAGTAATGTTATATTTTTAGATTAATAAGATCGAATAATAACTAAAAAAAGATATGAATTAAAATAAAAAATAAAAAACTTTAAACCTCATTTTCCAAAAGTACCATTTTGGCGCTTTAGCACTTTCTCCTTTCCAGTGATAGTTAGCGACATTAGCCAAAACCCTTTTTATCCTAAAGGCCCTATAGCTAACCACTAGTTAGGGATCAATAATTACGTCTCGAACTAAGTAATACATATTTCATTACAAGATCAAAAAAAGCAAAATTAACTTTTTTTTGGTAATAACTTTACCAGTGTAAACTTTTTTGCCTGACGTTTTTTCAATAATTTGTCGTTATGTAACTTACTATAGTACTAGGGTGATTAAAATTCATTGTTATGCGAATAATCGGCAAAAATATTCAAAAAATCGTTAAAAGTATTCAAATAATCGAATCTTCAAATTTTTTAATATGTTATCGGTTTATTACGATTTTATTTTTGAAATTGCTTAAATTATATGAATCATGAATAAAACAATTTTAATTGTTTTATAATTTCCTACTTTGTCAGCGTAAACTTGTATAGGCAAAAACATTCATATCTAAGGCCGCTCTGGAAAAACACTACGTACTTAATTCCTATCTTTCGTCATTTCGGGAGCTTACTGTTCGTACTTTTGTGATTTTGTGACGCGGCTATAACTTTTTGGACCTGTTCTTCTATATTTGTTGACCTTGGCAGGTTATATATGAGCACGTGTAGTTGTAGTAGTTGCACGGTAAAATCAGTTTCGTGCATTGGTGTTAAAACTACAGAAATATTTTGAACGTGGGTCACAAAACGGTGAGCCCCGTTTACCAGTGACAAGCTGTCCCCTGTTGCCAAAACCTATTAGAAAACAATTACTCGCTGCCATATAATATAGAGCGACCGCGGCGTTCGTTTCGCGTTTAGAGTGTGTTTGTCCCGATAAACTTTACAACGCACAGTGTGGCCAGACACCTTCGCCATAGTGGCCTACAGCCTGGCCACAAGGCAAAGTTTTATCGCGATAATTCTATTGTGATGTGTACAACAATCGCCTTAGCCTACAACGATATCGGATGCAACGTTTTGTTGCTGAACACGAAAACATTCACAACAATGCAATATCCGACACATTTTACGGGCTAATATAGAGTAAAATGTAGCCCACTTAGGGTTTGTAATTGCGACATAGGAAAATCCATTAACTGTGAAAATGATAATTCTTTTTCCATTCAACATAAGGCGGAACACCTCCAAAAAGTGAAACAGTAAAAAAAGTATATTAGGGTCCAAACCATCTGGCTTATCCCATGGACTGGTTGTTAAGAGCAACAATTCCAGTGCAATTGGCTCTGTGTTTACCAACTCAGGTTAGATAGTGTGTCTACACAGGAACCCAGCGTGATATGAGTAAATCCTCAAAAAGGCATGCCAAACCGTATTTTGAATAGGTTGACTCGATCGGGATTTGACTACGCTCTTATAAAATACCAGCTCAAAATAGCAGCTTAATGAGACTGCCTATGTTTGCCTTTAAGGGTGACAACTCATCTATATTTTGAAACTTAATCAACAATGTTTTATTTTTGGATCACAGCGTCAAATTGCCATCTCATGAATTGTGCTGGTTTGTCATATCTTTTCTATAAAAATGGTGATTAAAAGAGTGTTAGTTTTTATACTAGTAATGATTTCTTATGTTTACGCGAAAACTACACATTTCAATAATACTTGTTTTTACGGATTTTATCGCGTATATTAACTTTATTATATACCCGACGTTTCGAGCACTTTACAGCACACATGGCCACGGGGAGGGGGGGGACGTTGAACATCTCAGTCCCCCGTGACCATAGGTGCTGTAAAGTGCTCGTGACGTCGGGTATATAAAATAAGTTAATATACGTGATAAAAGCCATAGAAACTAGTATTATTTAAATGTGTAGTGTAGTGTAGTATTCTAGCCAATCCCTTAATGGAAAAATACTACTGCTAAACAAATATCTTTGTTTAATTGATTACTAACTGACTATACGTCTCTACATGGTTATGAAGTTGTT